AATTAGAAGCAAATAGAATAGAACTTTAATTGTTTGATTGTCTCACTTCATGCACAAGACAAGGCCAATTTGCACACATATTTCTTCTCTCTTAAAATGTCCTATTATGGCAACAAAAAAAAATAAATCTACCAATCAGGTCGCATCTAGAAAAGCGCGCCGAGAAAGCGCGCCTAAAGCGCAATGCTTCATGGGTTTGCAGTGTTTCCCTCATTGTAGTCATTACACACTCAATCTTGTACCTTTGTCTTTTTGTTCGATTATCGAAAAAAAAAAATCTTCAGTTGAAAGTGTGTAATCTTGCGATTTAACTGGTTTGGTTAATGGTTTAGAACGCTTTAACCAAGATTAAAAAACAATTTAAAATCGAATGAGAAAACTACTCCCAGAACCAGCGCTATTGAGGAAGTGGGCGGGCACTGATGCACTGAGGCTGCGCTTCACTAACGGTCGTGTACTTCTCAACTCTGGAGCAAAGCCAGCGAAGTTTGGTAAGTGATCATTGGAAACATTTTTATATATTTAGTTTGACGTTGCTTTTTTTGTATTGTAGAATTAGTACGAGTTAACATCGTCGGAAAGTTAAATGTTAAAGATGTGGCTAACAATTCATAATCGTAGCTGTTATATTAAAATATATCATTAGTTCACTAACGTTAAATGTTCGTCTATTACATTTAGATTACATCAGACATCTTTATTTTATATCACAGCCGTTTATTTATTTAAAGTTAAGTGACATACACTGATGGATTAACATAAAAAAAAAGTGATAATTGGAAACATTTTTATATATTTAGTTTGACGTTGCTTTTTTTGGATTGTAGAATTAGTATGAGTTAACATCGTCGGAAAGTTAAATGTTAAAGATGTGGCTAACAATGCATAATCGTAGCTGTTATATTAAAATATATCATTAGTTCACTAACGTTAAATGTTCGTCTATTACATTTAGATTACATCAGACATCTTTATTTTATATCACAGCCGTTTATTTATTTAAAGTTAAGTGACATACAGTGATGGATTAATATGAAAAAAAATTTAACTGTATTGTGACTCTATTTTTAGCAAGTAAATGTACCCATGGTTGTAATATTCAAGTTGTTGAATATAGATTTAATAATACAATGGTGAGTAAAAGAGAAAAGGTTTTTAATTAGTTTTGGACCTCCTTAACATTTGACCTCAAGTGTATGTGTGTGTGTTTGCATTTTTTCTCCATTGTGGATTTCGTTGTGGTGTCACTCATTAATATCTGCAGTTTGTTCTGCATTGTAGCAAATTTTTGTTTGACAAATTATGTAACAAGAGAGCAAATGGGTTTATGTGTTTTGATAGTTTGTCTTTCAATTTGAAATGAAATAAGCAGAAATGAAAAAAACAATACCTTTTATGAATTTTTTTCGTTTGTAAAAAAAAACAAAAACAGATTTTTGTTAGATTTTTTTTTGGTTCACGTTTTCTACCTGTGAACCAAAAAAGGAAAATAAAGTCAATATTATATATTTATGTTTTTGGAACAAATGAAAAAAATATTAAAGGCGCCATTTTCTTGTTTCTGCTTAATTCATTTCAAATTGAAAAACAAACTATCAAAATGTACACGGACCTTGTAGTTTCACCCATTCATTTATGATTTTCTTGATTGTTTTTGTTTGGTGTGTGTGTTTGTGTGTGTGTGTGTTTGCTTTCTATATTATTAATAATTTATATAAATAATTTTACAATTTGTAATGTTCTCTTTTGTTTGTTTCAGGTTGAAGAACGTTTGTAAAAAAAAAAGAAGATTTTTGTTAGATTTTTTTTGGTTCACGTTTTCTACCTGTGAACCAAAAAATGAAAATAATGTCAATATTATATATTTATGTTTTTGTAACAAATGAAAAAAATATTAAAGGCGCCATTTTCTTGTTTCTGCTTAATTCATTTCAAATTGAAAAACAAACTATCAAAATGTACACGGACCTTGTAGTTTCACCCATTCATTTATGATTTTCTTGATTGTTTTTGTTTGGTGTGTTTGTGTGTGTGTGTGTGTGTTTGCTTTCTATATTATTAATAATTTATATAAATAATTTTACAATTTGTAATGTTCTCTTTTGTTTGTTTCAGGTTGAAGAACAAAAGACCTGAGTAAAGCCACGGTATGGAAAAGACTTGGATGCACAATGATAGGGGCAGTTCACGAAGAAGAGCATTAAGGCTAGTCAGTAAACTGATGGAAAATGAGCCACCATAGGGAAGGAAACGTGAATGATGAGACAAGTGTTTATGTTGATGATTCAGAGGAATCTGACATGCAAATTGGTGATGAAAGTGTTGAGGATCTCGTTGATGGCATTGAGGATAAGGAAGTACATGAAAAGATTTCAGCTTCTGTTGAGGATCTGCCTGATCTCGGAGAGTGTAGTGAGATGGATGGGGATTTGCAGTGTTCTCTGCAGGGCTCGACAGTGCGACCATTTCAGTCGCATTTGCGACTGAAAACTACTGCGTGCGACTATGAAATTTATTTTAGGAGCACCAGTGCGACTGACCCGATCATCATCATACTTGTGATTGCGCTCAGGGAAGCTTCAAAGCTTTCTACGTGTTTTTGCAGCGTCGAGTAATGTATCAGACATATCTCACCAATCCTTCATAAGCAAAGTGTAGACAGGGTGTAAATAAGAGATTCATCACACAGTGTAGAGAGCTTCGTTGATTGTAAATGTGAGCTCGCGATGAACTAAGATGATGAGTGACAGCTTTGAATGATTTTTAAGGGAGTTTGTAAATGTGATAACTGATTTAATACAATACAATTCAATAAACAAGAAGTTAATTTTAAGTTACTTACATTGTCTGACTATAACACTATTGTCTGATTTTGCTCTATTTCGTCGTCGAATTTCGAAAATAACAAAGTCACAGCTCAGCCGTTGCGCATCTCCATTCAAACACAGCGGTGTTTCGTTTATGAACGAACAGACGAACAGTACGAATCTAGTGAATCAGTGATTCATGATTACCCATTCATAAAGACAGTCACTTGATTCATTCTTGAATGAATCAGCCGTTCGAATGAATCAATTGAATGAATGATTCAGTGATAAAAATCAGTGACTTGCCGCCACCTGCTGGCAGTTTTAGTTTCATTTTTAAAGTATCTTTTCAGTTATTTAAATCATTTAATATTTCTATATTCAAAATTTTATATTTAAAACATTAATATCATCATGGATTTAATTGCACTCATTCCACTTCTGAACCACATTAAATGTCTGAAAGTACATCAAACAACACTTTTGTGTTCTTCTGTGCCACCTCTACAAATTATTTTTGTTAATACTGATTTCATTTGATTTTTAACTTGTTTCTTATTCTACTCTTATTCTGTTGTTAAGCTTATAAAATATAATTTAAGAATTTGACAAAAGATGACATACTTTTAATAAAGTTAGAGGAGTCAAATATTACCTCGTAATGGGAAGGCTACTTTTTGATAACATTTTGGATTATTGATTAGAAGGTGCTCCTAAAATTTTGAACGTGCTCCTAAATTTTTTAAGAGAAAAGAAAGAAAGCAAGCGTCGAGCCCTGTACAGATTTGGTGCAACATGTGAGTGAGCAAATAATGACAGAATTATACTCTAACTGGACACCTGTTTGTACACATGTTCATGTACACCCCCTACCCATCTAACTGGGCATCTGTTTGTACATCTGTTTATCCACCCCACCGATCCAAAGGAATTTTTGACCATTCTCTTATTGTTTGGGAATGTGTTTTTGAAGCGGGGGCATTGAAACTGTTCAAAAACTATGTGGTTTAAACTTTAAAATTGTGAAACGTTGTATCGGTTACATACATTTGAAGAAAAACATGTAGCGTATACAATATGAGCAATTAATGACTGTGTTTTCCAGAAAACAGTAAAAACAAGTCAAGACGAGCATTTTCTTGTTAAACGATTTTAGGAAAGGGTGAAACCACTAAAAACACTTCTTTACATATCCTATTGACTCAAGAGAGCTGGGAATTTATGTTGTTTCCAACCTCTCTACTAACATCAAATGTTTCATGATTAGAATAAATAAACCCCAGAAGTATGTGAGATTACCATTCCAAAACCGATTTGTTGTTGTTCCACTATTACATTGAGACAAATAGCCCTTTTGCTTTAGTATTTCAGTTGGCTAAAGAGTATGTTTCTGTGGTTTTGATTTTTTCTTTTTAGATGTTTCACATAGTTGTTTTTGACAAAACCAATGAGGTAGAAGTTGTGCCTTCCATCTGGATAAAAAATGGAGAGTGCATGTGGCCTCCAAATAAAACTGATATAGCAAAAGCTGTAAAATTGCAAGAATGTCGTGGAGATGAATGGAAGCCCCATAAGGCCAGAATTATTTTCACATCACTACATTCTTTCCCCTCTTCCTTCAAACTGAACTAATATTATGTATTACTTAAAATTGCCTTTTTTACTTTCCCAGATGACTACAATGAAGCTAGACGAAAACTTCCTCAAGCTGTTGATCACACTGACATTGGAAGTGATGGAGGGAACTCACCAATTAAATTTAAAAGAAGAAGAATGTAGGGGGAAGAATGTGTTTTATTGTTTTGTTTTGTTTTTTTAATTAATTGGTGGTGCACAACATTTACTAATAATTGCATATCTTGAAATGATGAAATATGTTCTTAGACCTAAAAACAATCTTTTCCCTGGAGAGGATGATGATGAGATGGAAAGCACTGTGAAAGAAAAAAAGTCAAAAAAAGGGTAAGAAGCTTCTGCCATTTTAAATTATAGTGTATTTTACCATACCAGATAAAGTGCTAAGATCTTTTGTACTTCTGAGCAGAAAGTATTCATTGCCCAATGCTCCAAAAATCGTCAGGCAGCACAAAAGTCCTGCATTAGAACCAGTAAAGCAAAACAGCCCCAAGGTTCACCAAAGAGGCCATGGCGCTCCTGACTGTCACTATGATGACATGGAAGACACCCTGGAAGGAACAGTGTCAAGAAAAAGGTAAGAAGCTTCAGGATTTTTTAAAAATGTAATGCATTTTTATCACAGCAGATAAAGGACTAACATGTTTTGTACATTTGAGCAGAAAGTATTCATTGCCCAGTGCTCCAAAGATCGCAAGGCAGCACAAAAGTCCTGCATTAGACCCAGGAAAGCAAAACAGCCCCAAAATCCACCCAAAAGACCACAGCACTGCTGACGTCCACCGAAAAGACCACAGCACTCCTCGGGTCCACCCAAAAGGCCACAGCGCTGCTGACCTCCTCCCAAAAGACCACAGCACTCCTGACCTCCATCGAAGAGGCCACAGCAGTCCTGAGCTTTACCCAAGTGACGACAGCACTCCTGAGCTCTACCCAAGAGGCCATAGCAGTCCTGACCTCTACCCAAAAGGCCACAGCACTCCTGACCTCTACCCAAGAGGCCATAGCAGTCCTGAGCTCAACCCAAGAGGCCACAGCACTCCTGACCTCTACCCAAGAGGCCATAGCAGTCCTGAGCTCAACCCAAGAGGCCATAGCAGTCCTGACCTCTACCCAAAAGGTCACAGCACTCCTGACCTCTACCCAAGAGGCCATAGCAGTCCTGAGCTCAACCCAAGAGACCATAGCAGGCACATCATCACTGAGCGCTGTACATCGAGGCACGTCAGCCCTGAGATACGTCCATTAAGGCATGCCAGCAGTGAGATCCACACATCAAGCAACACCAGCACTGAGATAGGTAGACCAAGTCATGCCAGCAGTGAAATTCGTAGATCAAGCCATGCCAGCTCTGAGATCCGTAGACCAAGCCACGCTGCACCTTCTCTAGTCCCATCAAAGCATACTGAGCCACACCAGACCAGGGAGCAGACATCTAATTTGCAAACATGTGAGTATATTAATGTTTATTATAGTTATGTTTGTTTTTAATATTTTTTTTTCTCTGCCAAATTACTTCAGCTATTTTTACTTCATATTGTTTCTTACACTCTTTCTTATACAAAAATGACAAAGTTAAAACTTAGATGTATGTATGTTTGTGCCAACAACTTCCAAAAATTCATATCTCAAGAATGTTTTGTTGAGATGTTGTAATCTGTGATGATACAGAATATTCCTGACAGTGATTAATCCACAATGTTAGTTGTTTGGCATGTTAACTTGCAAATTTGACTTGCACTGGAATACAGTTTTAGTAAAAATAGTAACAATACCAGAAAATTGTCAGTGTTTACCTAATTAAAGTGACTGAAAACTAATATTTGTCTTTCTTGTTTTCTTCCTAGCCCTCCTGCGTAATATATTAACAAAACAGGAAATGATGATAGACCAACTGCGAATCATCTTCAAGACCCTACAGAGTATGAAATCGGCTGATGAGTCAGAGACAGACCTGGATCGAAATTTGTTGTCACTTAAAGATGTCAGTTCCCTTCAGGACATGGAGGAACAACTGCATAGTAATCCTGACCTCCGGAAACAGTTGGTATGTTGGCATATCATCACATTTCCTAAAACTGAGGTGACTAGCTTCAGTGTTTTCCACAGACTTGCACTCTATTTGTGGTGGCACTTACCCTGTTAAATGTGGGGAAAGTAAAGCCGCATTTCTGTGCGCACACATCCAAAGCACTCACACACAGACATCTCAGATGCACGCAAATACTGAATTGAGTTCTCTTCTGCTTCTTTTTGTGCTTGGATGAACAAATAAAGACAAAGTTACATCAAAATGCTCATCTTTTCTAACAGACGTATGTAATTTGGAATGTATTTTTTGAGAGAGAGAGAGATTTTATTTATTTTTTTAACCAGTGTCACCTATAGTATTCATAGTATTTCATGATTGATTAAACCATTGCTTAAAAAAATAATTCATTATGATTTCAGGTAAACACACTGGCTCTCAAAGGTGGGGTGGACGTCCACGAGTGCATTTGGAGGATTATGCAGGGACTGATTACTAACTCTTTGGCCCAAAAAATCAACATGAGAGGAATAAATGGAAAAATTGGTTTCCAGCGCTTACGTTTACGGGATGTTGTGATTGGTAAGTTGTACTTTATGCCATAAGAGTGGTTTAAGTGTTTAAGAATCATCAACATTTATTTAAATTGATAATTCAGGTTACAAGGGGAGTAGAGGAAGAAAGCAGAGGAGAATGAGATGAGGAAATGAGTGAGAGGAGGGATGGAAAGGGGGAGGGGAGGGGAGGGAGGGAGAAAAAAGGGCAGAGGAAAAGGAGAGAGAGGAGAAATTGGGGGATGAGGTAAAAAAGAGAGGAGAGGAGGGGACAGGAATCCTGGAGCCATATTGGAACCTGGTAGGAGGAAGGTGCCAGCTCATTACTAAACTGATCTGCATCAATTTACAGTCTCTATGTGTAGATGTTACAGAATGTCTGGGTTCAGTTTTAATGTAATTGTCCTTTAAAATCCAATAGCCACACTAGCTTTTGATACAGAAGCTAATTTCAAACCATGTTTACATGTATGTTTCAGCGGCTGTGAGGCGTAACCGACTGACGTCTGCGGCCACAGAAAAGGACATTGATTCCACTATCAAAAGATGGCTATATCTGGCCCCGGATAGGGATGGTGGCAGGAGAGAGAGGATGAAGAGAAAAGAGCGTCAGGGGAGTACAACAGGTTAACGGACTTGCGACTTGTTTGGATGTTCAAGAGTTGGTCAGTGCTGCTTGTTCATGAACTGAATCAGATGTTGAAGAGTTGTGTGCACAGTGCCGCTATTTCATGAACTGAATCAGAAGTTAAAATGTTGTGTGCACAGTGCCG